TTTAGCCTTTGTCGCCGTGTTTTTGTAAATTTCCCTTGTTCTTGACTAGGGCGCTGTAGATAACAATGAACAGCTCAATAACCTGCACACTAGACCAGAGTCTCAAGTTTACACTAACTGTATAATAAACTCTCGTTTATTATAATAAGTGTGTTGATCTCGGTAGGGGGTCCTCCTCATGCTACCTTGCCTGTAATTTACAGTCCTTGTGTCGAGTTGTTGTTTGTAGTCCGTCACAGTTTACGCAGTTACAGTATATATACAGCTTACATAATATCGTACTGTATTGACGTGTTATAAATTGTAACAATTAACTAAAAATGAGGCCACCTTAATATAGGCCATCCTAACATGAGGCCTTCTCGATGAGGCCATCTTGTAACCTCGGTACATTTTCCTTCTTTAACTCTCTTTACTTGCTGTATTCCGCATGATATAAGTTACACTATAGTGCTGTGCCCCGTACCTCCGTAGTAGTAGTAGTGGTTTCCTTTCAACACCCCTTATATAGGGGCCCTACTTTCACAATATATGTACTTGGCCCCCACTTAGCCCTCACCGCCCACGGTCCAATACTGCTCTGCAAATCAATTCGCATGTTCACGATATTATCATGCAAATTAGATATCGGTCGGGCAGGTTAATAGGATCATATCTCTGTGAGATATGTGATATTGTTGACTCTTGCTGAACCTTGTTCTGCAGATTGTTTAACTGCAGTTATTATTATCTGTTGATCTGGTTAGTAACCACTTTTACATCACCAGTACACCTGTTCACACTTGTTTATATATCACTTAATTCTCCGACAACATGGTGATACCTAGGGGTAGTCCATCTAGGGCGAAAATCATCAAGAGCAGCCCTGATCTTCCTTCCGCACGTACGAATTATTGTAGGTCTCTCTGTTATTTTCACTATTTTTGTAAGCTTTAATTTCATAAGAACTCATTAGATAGATAAATTAGTTTGTTGTACTAAAGTAGGTATCTCTATATCTAGCTAGTCTGTTGTTCACGTGCGCCCGACAAACGTACAGAACGTTAACCTCTCTCACGAGCAGTACTAGCCTCCCCAGATATGATTACTTTCTAGCAATCAGTCGCCGCTCTGACAGAGTAGCTCAGATGATATACTTCAGCAAATCGTAGCTCCATGTTACCTGCTGCCAGCCGCGTGTGCTGCAGGCAGGCAGTGTATTATATCAAGTTAATTATATAGTGCAGTCATATCAAGGGGGGTCCACTGTTCGTCTGTTTTTGTTTATGTATCACTCTGAAAGATTGTTTGCTTATTGCGCTTAATTGATCCCATCGATGATGTGGCTTGTGAGCTGGAAATGCCAATCTTCTTTAGAATAATTTACCCTTATTTAAGGAAAATAGATTACAGGGAAATTGTTTCCCCCCCCCCCCCCCATGTTTCTTAATGTTTTTGAGTGGATGATTGGTTGAAGTAATAAGGTTATTTGCTTCTCCACAGTGAGCTGTGTTGAGCATCGTCTTCTTCCTCCGCTAGTTTAGTCCGCCTATTGAATAGTATTATTAAGTTCCTAATGTCCTCCTAGAGTCATTACCGCTATAAGCCAGTCAATGACCATGTTATTGCCAGCAAATTACCGGCTATATCTACCGACTAATGAACCGACCCAACCGACCATCTTCGGTCGCATTGTCGTCAACACAACATGGCTAATGCCCACACTCCACAGTATTGTATACCATATTCCGGCTTTATTACACTTTCCCGGAATGTTTCCGATTTCAGCTCCCCTTGTCCCACCCTGAATATTTTGCTTTTGAAAAACTTATCTATACTTCACGTGCTCAGTGCTTATCAGGAGCCTGCTGGACTGTGTTAAGGTGTAGACCGGTGGGGGCACAGCATTATACGTCATGTAAAACACAGTTCACAGGAATTTGTGGCCTTGTGGAGCTGCATTTTATGAGTTTTAACATTCAGATTCCAGTGCCGTTCTTTCCAGTGGCTCTCCTTCAAGCTCTGTTATCATTAGTTGAGACCTTTAGGCTGCTGTTAATGGTTTAATGTCTACTAATGAACACTCATGGGAACTGACTTCAACGATAATATTACCTGATGTTTTATTATCAGCGACTCATCGCAAATCGTTTCTTGTTAATAATCAGGTAAATTTCAAATCTAAAACCTGAAAATTAGAAAAAATTCAGCGCTTATCAATGGGTCGTATAAACACATCTCTGATTACAAGAATATTCTGGAAACACTGATAGTATCCATCCTCCAGACATCCTTACTGCCGCATACTTGTAATATTTGACGATCCTTAGCAGGGTTTTAAAACAAATTCTAGACAATATCATGGTAATGGTTGACTGGACGGTAATTTCCCGTCTTCGTGCCAGTCAGTACCTAGTACGGCTCTATTCGCTGAACAAGTTCAATTATGTCGTGGAGAAGTGACTGTGTTGATGTGAGTGAGCTGGTGGCCGTGGCGCGACCTCAGGTCTAGCGTCCGTTTCAGAGAATTTAGAAGTTTTTGTTTGTGTACATGTGCTTTTGATCTCTAATTTGCAACTGCTGATAAATTAGGAGAGAGAGATAAATTGGATTATATGTTTTGATTGCGAACTTGTTCGAACATGCACGGATCTTTCCCCGGAATTTCTAGCTTCATTAAGTTTGTGATATCGAGTCATCGAGTGTTCCATTGTCCTAATCAATTGTAATGTTTATACTAAATGTGTTGATATTTCTGCACGCTTTGCACAGGAGCTTGGCTGTGGCGGTTAACGATTGTCGACAATAAACAAAGGCTTTTGTGATATGGTTTACAGTTTCACACGCTTCAGGGCACAAAGCAGCAATTTAACAAGAATGACTCTCAATCTCTCAATTTAATACAGGTCATAGCTTTTACAAGAAAACTTTTACTTGAAAGAGGTGCTCGTCTTACATCTCACTTTACGGTTCTAACCGCATTGACCTTCACTTCCATCATCAACCTTAGTTTGACACCGCAGAGTTTAACCGCAATTTGTTGATTTAACCGCTCTTTGACCGTTTGTTATGGTGAACACTTGACAGTGGAGGTGACATTTGACCCTGCTTTATGGTAGTGTGAAGTGTGGTATTGTTGTCCAGCACCAAGAGCTGGATATTTACAAGGTGATGGGTCCACGCCCCGGGGTTGCTACATACCTACCCTAACCTATCACGTTGTTAAACTTCTACCAGCCCAGCCCCAGAGCTGCGAACTATGACGGTTAATTCAATATCTCAGTGTCTACCCTGCTCTCATATCGGGCTACCTAATTCGATTGACCGGGAGAACTTGCACTGTCATGCCCAAAACCTCCCTCAAATTTATATTGTCCCTAAATTCCGGTGAGAGCCCTGAACAGATCTTCCCTTTGAACGTGCGCCTCCATACCAACTTAACGTCTCGCAACATGAATTTCATATGCAAATCAAATCACTCACCCTCTCTCTCTCTCTCTCTCTCTGCCTCATAGTGGATTGAGTGAGATCACTTTCGTGGTATGCGGGCCGGGCATGTGTTTACCTGCCCGTAGATACCTTCTCTGCGACACTCAGGGGGGGAGACAGTGGGGTATTTTGGGGTTTGTGTCGTGGTAGGAAACAGTCTGTGAGGACCAGCTGTCTGATTAAGTGGTTTTGAAATTGAGGGAATGAGACCATTTCCCGACTATCCGCACCTTTGTAAGGTTGTAACAAGGACGGTAACTTCCCCCGCCCTTCTAGTCTTGCCCCCCCCCCCCTATTTGCACCACCCCCCCCCCCCCCCCCTATTTGATATGTTGGAGTTCTGTCACACAGGTATCTTATTTCCCATTACCATTCCACAAATTCGTTAGTCCCTCTGCAGGGTTAGCCAATGATCAGCGGTTTTTGTTAGCTTGGTAGGTGTCGGCTGGGTCTGCAATAGCGGTGTTACGCAAATATTGTGGTGAATTGTTTTGTTAGACTGATTTGTTAGGTTTTAGGCTGTTTACTCTGTTCCAGCTAGTATAGGCTATCCGCTAACCTATATTTGATATCTTTTCAGATGGAATTTTTGTAACTTCAATTTTTTGTAACTCCATTTAGCTTGCTTATTACTATTTACTTTAATTCTGCCCGATTCTGTAAACCGTCATGCTCTGCCAAAATTTAAAACTATTTCTGTTAAATTGAGAATTTATTGCTTGACTCAATATATTGCTGATCATCGTTTCTGTCTAAACAAAATCACGTTTGAATTATGCATGTAAAATAGAACTCGTAATCGTGCTTAAACTCAACCACAAGTGTTCAGAGAATGAGCAGTTCCGCTAGTTCTCTGCTCAAGACAGCTCCGATTTCAGCTATCTTTCCTCATCATGCTGGTCTAAAATGCCAGACTAACCTGACTTTGTTCCGGTGTCAAGTTATCGTTTGAGACAGTTCATGTTTCCTCTTATCTGATAGACGGGATTGTTCGAGTAATTGAATTGCATGCACTTCAATTTATAGACAACTCCTCATCATTACTTTATACAACCGTTCCATGTCAAATGGTCACTCGGATCGCCATTTCGTCCAATTTGCCGTCACAAATCGCTCATTTTTAACCGTTTCATAGTTTTCAACGGAATGTGTCTGTTTCGAGCACTTTCTTCCCATCAAATATTCCCACGTTCCAATATGGTATTATAATCCGAAGTAAAGAGTCTAAAACTCAGGATTATGACGTCATACCCTACTTTCTCACACCACTCACTACCTACATCATTTATTTGTGTGTTCTTTGGAACCCGCTGAAACCCAGACATCAAAGGAATCTGGTAATACTATTCAAAATGATATACTCAAGTGAAAGCTTTTTCTCCTCCTCTCTTACCAAGGTATGCATGTATATGACATTAAGCTGATGAAATGAATATGTTACATATTTTATCCATTCCCACCATATATATATGCGCGTGGTATGGGAGGTATGAGCCCATGTTTTCATTACTAACCGATGCTATTTGTTTGATAGGTAGGTAGATGGGGTTCTTGGATAATGATGGGTTGTTACCTGTTGCCATGGCAGTCAAAAAGGACAAGTAAGTCTAGCCTATTTGATCATTGACAATCTGAATATTTCAAATTTTAACATGTTTAACCGAATACCGATCATTTGAGGTATTATATACGAATACGTTCCCTGTGGGTGTGAATGTGATAAGCCATGACTGCCTTGTGACTATCCACAATTCTCAAACTCTGTGAATTCCTGTGATGTCACGCATTCTTTTACCTGATGTTTTGATCACAATATTTCACTTTTCAGGCCGCTGGTGACTCATCTGCCACACGTACGTAAAGTAATAGACGAAGCGCCGCCAGAATACATCATAATGATCGTGGTAGCCTTCCTAGAGGTCTTTGCAATGACCATCAGCTTGGTTCACATTGTCAACAAACATCGAGCCTTCATGAGGTAATTGGGTATAATCTGATTACAATGTCCTATTTATAGTTAGCAGCCAGTTTGGTAAATACCAGTTTCAATACAGTAGTTTGATTTTATCAACTGGTCGGAAATGTGGTTCAATTTAATTTTTCCTTCTTAGATTTCACTCTAATTCTTTGTTTTCTGCCCCTACTAGCTTTCCGACCAGACTGACTTTTTAAAAGATACGAAATGGGTGGGCCCTCTAGAAGAGGCTTCTTATCAAATTCCTTGTTGTCTCATTCGTCTGCTATTATTCGAGATAAAACGGACAATTATTGGGACAATTTGGGGCTGTGACTTTTAGGGCACCGACTTCGCATATTATTCCCGATATGCTCGGTGGCGCGTCACCTGTCACGTGTCTGACGGCACGTGCTAATCGCTGAAACACAACCAGTGTTGCTAGGAGCCGGCAGTCTGCAAACTTTACTTTGATCTGAAGTATACAGACCTCTTATTGTCCTTTTAGAGAGCTGATCACGTGCACCTTCTTTATAACTACCTCATATCAGTGAGTGTGTAAAACCTTCACGTGAATGTGTTATACTGCAGAAGTGCACGTGTTTTAGCTTCTGCAGTTGGACAAAGTATCCAAGTGGATAAGTCGAGCCTCAAATTATATTCAAAGTGTACAATGTGTGTGTGTGTACAAGTTGCGGGAGAGCATGGTACTCAAGTACATTGCACATTTTACCTACATCCGATGTGACAATGATAATTACACGTTGAGAGAGTGTACTGACAAATGTACATTGCCCGTTTAAACGGTACACTCTTAATTTGGCAGTTGATAGAAACATCAAGCGATCATCATCACCTCTTGTTAAATTAATTAATTGATTATCAATTATGTTATCACGTTATATTTGAAACTTGAAACTAATTGGTTATGTTTCAGGAACAAACCGGGGATGGTTGGTCCGACCATAGGACTTCTGTCTTTCTACTGGGTCATTGCCACGCTAAATCTGTTGGGGCTGTTCGTGCTGCGGGCTAACTTTCTCTGTCAGACTATATGTGAGTTATTATAACTTAATTTACTATTATTATACTTTAGTTTACTGTATATTTGATACCATACTTCCTTCAATATTTATAAATACTACTACACGTTTTACCATGCTCGGTGACCTGAGTTACTGAATATATGCACATGTTTTACATGCTACCTTAATATGTACTCCTTGTCATTGTCACGCACGAAGATCTCGTTTATAAGAAGAGGATTACAGAATGATGCTTAATTTGACCTAATGGCCTCAATAAAGATTTTAGATGGGCGTTAGCTGTAAAATGTACAGTGTTTAGTGGATAAGTTAGTAATAAAATATACTAAGTTCAGTAAATGAGTTAGTTGTAAAATGTACAGTGATAAGAAGGCAAGTAATAAATTACATGTAATGGTGTGCGGAGTGTGTCCATTGTATTAGACATACGAATATTTCATTTATTCAATTTGAATGTGGGAATGTTTGGGGCCCTACAGAACAAGGCCCCGCCTGTTGCTATATTTAGGGTACCATTTCACGTCATTACCCATTAATCATAGTTGTTACGGACGTCCTGGACGAACTTTAAAAAGGTGCCGAACTGGACGAATTTTTTAACGAAATAGACGAACTTTAACCGAACTTTAAACTAAGATCACATATGCTATAGATTATTTAGATAACAATGATAAGTTGCGAGCTGTTGCTATAATTGATGCTTAATTGTAATCTGTGAACCAGCTCTGTTTATATTGAAGTACTAGTCATGATCTGTTGTTGATATAGTTATTTTTTCAATACAAGTATGTATAACTATCTAACTGTATCATTTGTTTACAAGTGTAATAGTGATCGCACCTAAGCCATTCATTATAAAATCAAAACATATGCCAAGAAAATTTACGCAACGAATTTTCACGAATTTTCACGAATTTTTAAAAGGTGCCGAACTGGACGAACTTTTCGCATTTCTTCGACGAACTTAACAACTATGCCATTAATACGCCACTCAGCCACAACTCTGTAAATGTAGCAATATGACTGGTGTGTCTGAGACTGGAAGGTGTAATTCTCACACAGTCACCATGCTTCTCAATCGTTAGGAATGGATTACTGCCTACTGGTCGTAGTTTCTCACGGGAACTGCTAGTTCCGAGTATATCGTATTATCAGTTTTCTTAAGGCCTGTAAAATGTTTGGGATAAGGATTTGGGCTCTCATGATAGGGAAATTTGTAAAGCACTGATACAGAAAAAGAAAAGGTTATTAGATGTTTCCCGTACAATACACGTAACTGCACGTTCTGATATATATTTAAAGTTAATGACAAATATCCCGCAGGCTCCTGCTATGACGCACTGATCGGATACCTGTTCGCGGTCCTGCTGATCGCCTACTCTAACGGCAAACTCTCCTACCTCTCGATCCTGCGCTGGCGAGAAGTGGTTGCGTCCCCGTACTCCTGCTCCTTCATATGCTGCTGGGGCGGGGTGGCGCAACCACGTGCTGAGCGCGCCGTCACGTACATCCTCCAACTACCAGTGATCCACTGCGCCACCTCACTTGCTGAACTAATCTGCGAGAACGAGGAGTTGTTCATTTACCCAGCCCCCCTTACCAAGTCGTACATCACGTTTGGACTAAAGTGTGCTCAGGGGATTTCCCTTCTCTTTGCGCTCGTTGGGTTTCTGGTGTTGTGTCGGGCTGCTTCCATTGTCTCGCCCCGGACGTCCCCCTTTTTAAAGCTCATTTTTTATAAATCCATCTACATTTTGTCAGCTATACAAGGACACGTGCTGCTGTATCTAGCTTTCCACAAGATTCTCCCGGCAGCAAGTGATATAGCTCCGATAACGAGAGCTATCGTGTGGGCTAACTTCGCTACGGTTACGGAGTGTGCATTCTTTTACTTCATTGCTATTAGACTCTACAAAGTCAAAGAGTATACTGAATTTCAATCTTTCAAAACAAGAAAAGTCTCCAAAACGCTTGAGAGGGTCGAAAGTAGAGATGCGTTCTACCGGTCCACTTTTGAAGGAAAGAAGATGTCAGGAGATTCGACAGGAGAAGATTGCTCAGAAGGAGCCTCAGCAAGCACTCCAGAACTGGAGCTAGACAAGCAGGATCTGGTTAACTTGAAACTGCTGGGACTCAAAGTCAAACTCCCAGCCGAGGTTGACGAGACTCACTCTATGTCCAGTTTGAAGGGCCACAACGCCCTGACCTTGAGTTCGGACGAGGAGCCGGTGAAGTACAAGAAAGGCAAGCTAAAGAAGGGAGTTCCAACCTTCAGATCTGTGGACACAATGTTGCATCCAACTCACCACCAGTCCACAACTCCAAAATCTGCTCATCTGACTCAGGGAGACAAGGCGGCCACGATCGGATACACCAAGTTACCCATCAAGGAACAGGACGAGGACGTGCCCAATATTGAACCCAAGATACGGATTGTGGGAGGGAAAGTTAACATTTCACTTAGCTCCAGAGATCTTGTGAAACTCTGCCAATCCTCCAGCAATACCGAGGATGTGAGAAATTCCATTCCGATAAGCTTGAGTCTTGAGAAACTGACGGACGATGATGTCTCTGTGTGTTCTCCAGATGATAGGAAGGACCATGTTCCTCACCCGATTCCGAGAGAAAAAAATCGGGTAAAATTCGAAGAGACTGATCAAAAGAATCGCCATTCAATGCAGTTTGTGAAAAGCTTCAACTACAGTCAGCTGAACAGTTCGGATGGTGATTCAGAAAGTGAGGGCACGTGCGAGCTGGAACATTCCGCGCGAAACCCAAATAATCACCGGAAAATAACGGATCCTTCTCAATACGTCAGTAAAATCAGCCTTGTGTGATTTTGGATTTTATTTGTTAGGGCTTTGTAGATATTCTGGCGTTGTCTACTCGAAGCTATGAGGAATTACCAGCTCGTTATTTTGATCTGTTTTTAGGTCAATTACTTTAGTTATTTGGTTCGTTAAAACTTGATGTTTGGCAAACTGTGTGTTGTTATTTAGCAACATGTTAGGCGCGTTTAGATTAAAAACTTAGTGCGCTTTTAAAGAGATCACGTCAAATTTTTTAAGTTGGCCAAACTAGTAGAAATAGGGCCCTCGATCTCATATGTTCGTTTAGTTTCTTATTTTTTAAATTTTGAGTCCATGGTGATCTCAACTTTAGATTCTTTACATCGGGCAAGCTTAGCCAGATTAATGGCAGGATCTTGACTGGATTTTTCAGGATTTGACAGTATTTGTCAGATTATTTATGAATTTGATAAGTTGTGCCCAATGTTCTAGAGACTGGTGATGCATGCTATAATTGTTTAGTTTTTGTTTCCTCTGGGCTTAGTTAACGATCGAACCCAAATTTGTAGGTTTCTCTAAAAGCGAAAGAGATAAGATATTTATCTAATTTACAGTAATATTTATTTATTTTCAAAGACAGTCAATTTTCAAAGTCTTCAGTTTTTTCTCTAATCATGAACATGAACACTTTGGTAATGATAAGTTAAAAAATAAACGACACAAAAGATTTTTAACCTGGCGATTTAACTTTGTATTACTTACACAGTTATGTAAATTACATCATTGATTAATTATGTAAGTTACATAACTAAGTGTGTAACATGTATATTTGGTCATGAAATGTGCTAAAAATCATGATCGTTTGTCAAACACATGCAATTGCAATTTATTTGTTTTAATAATATTGTTATCTGATTTTGTTGAATTCTGATTTTATTTATGGTTATAACAAATACACGCAGTATTTATAGTTGAATGTCCTCAAATTGAATTGAAAGTTTCTTGTCACAACTTAATATTTGAATGCACTTCCCGCTTCCCTGCCCCCTTTCCTCCGAGCGTACTAAATCACTCTCGAGATGTTTCTAAAAGAGCCCCTGCATTCTGCTGTTCAAACCAACATAAAATGACTGATTCTGAATTACACCACATGACATGGGATAATATGTTTCAATGTATACTATATCGGCGATAAACTGTTTTTATCGCGTGACATGAGCATGCGAGGAAGTATGTCCAATTTATCGTGATAGGGTCGGGGTTTAAGCTTATCACTATCAGCTGATGTTGAGATTATGGATTGGGTTAGGGTTTGGATAACTATGAGAGTAGAGGGTTTGAATTCTCATGGTCTATCAGAGCCATATGGAGAACGTTTTAAGCTTATTCACGTGACAGTTCAGCGTAGAGTGATTTATGGATGGAGATAAAGTCATATAGATTGTAGATCAAGTACCCAAGCGCCAATTTTAAGAACCATTATCGATATTCAATGGAGGTCTCATACCTTCTCATGTGATGTGCTTAGAATGTTTTCCTAACGGAGTTCTACAGAACCAGTCTGCCAAGTCTTCTCTTATTCGGGTTCAGCAGAATCAGATGTACAACTACAAACAATGATCTGCATCTAACACTTAACTAACTGAGTCTAACACTTAACTAACTGAGTTCTGTAGAACCAGTATTCAAAGTTTCCTCTTTTTCAAGTTGGACTAAGTCTAACAGTTAATTGGCAAATTCCTTAACAGTTGCCAACTTTAAGAAATATAGCCTCCTATAGACGGACCTTCATGTAGATCAGAGTTGTCATACGTTGTAGAATGTAGACTTGCCGCGCACGAGTGCACGGATGTATCGTAGCCACGATACTAGTGAGACTTAGTGAAACGACAATGGGGGTCACGTCCACGATGTGATACAAAATCAGAGGCATCTGCAAACTGTGTATAGACTATAGTATAGTACGCGCGGGAAAATTTTGTGAAAAGTGCGGCGAATTTTTTTTCATTTATAGGTAACACTTATAGTGTTTTTTATGAGTCGGCAAACTACTGTTAGGATGTCGGATCGGATGGTGGCGGTGCAGGAAGTTTTTACAATCCATGATTAGCCTTGTCTCACGTGCAGGAAGTTTTTACCATCTATGATTAGCCTTGTCTCACGTGCGCCGTTGTATCACGTCGTGACCCCCACACGGTCGTTTCACTTTACACTTTATCGTCCTGGCGATACAGGGGAGCCGCGCACTCGTGCGCGGCGGATCATACAACGTATGACTGATGACAATCGCGTCGTAGGCCCGACGCGCACGAGTGCGCGGCTGTATCGTGAGTTTCACCCCGGTACTGATCACCCATAGTCTATCACTATCAGAGCCATATAGAGAACGTTTTAAACTTATTCACGTGACAGTTCAGCGTAAAGTGATTTATGGATGGAGTTACTGGGCCGCGCTGTCATTCCGCCGAATCTCTATTTATGAACATAATAGCCTGAGGTCCCCAGGTAATGGATGGAAATAAAGTCATATAGATTGTAGATCAAGTATCCAAGCGCCAATTTTAAGAACCATTATCGATAATCAATGGAGGTCTCATATCTTCTCTTGACCATTGTTAATGATTTGGCCCGGCGCGCGCTACTTCGTAGCTCGTGCCGTCGGGCCATAACATTTCGAGAAGAAAGCGGCGCGCGCTACTTCGAAGAAATTTAGACGAGTAACATCCGTCAAATATCTTTTCATGTGATGTGCTTAGAATGTTTTCCTAACGGAGTTCTACAGAACCAGTCTGCCAAGTCTCCTCTTATTCAGGTTCAGCAGAATCAAATGTACAAACAATGATCTGCAAGTGCATCTATTTCTAACACTAACTGAGTTCTGTAGAACCAGTATTCAAAGTTTCCTTTTATTCAAGTTGGACTAACAGTTAATCTGCAAATTCCTTAACAGGAAACTTTTCTCATGTGATGTGCTTAGAATGTTTTCCTAACGGAGTCCTAAAGAACCAGTCTGCCAAGTCTCCTCTTATTCAGGTTCAGCAGAATCAGATGTACAAACAATGATCTGCATCTAACACTAACTGAATTCTATAGACCAGTATTCAAAGTTTCCTCTTATTCAAGTTGGACTAACAGTTAATTGGCAAATTCCTTAACAGTTGCCAACTTTAAGAAATATAGCCTCCTATAGACTGACCTTCATATAGATCAGAGTTGTCATACGTTGTAGAATGTAGACCTGCCGCGCACGAGTGCACGCGGCTATATCGTAGCCACGATACTATTACTTGTTACTAGTGATACTTAGTGAAACGACAATGGGGGTCACGATGTGATACAAGATCAGTTGTAAGTTTATAACCTACCAGGACACGCACTGAGTTGGACTCGTCGACGGTCCTGGACCAAACATTTTACGAGTATCACCCGTTAAAAGATCAGAGGCAACTGCAAACTGTTTATTATAGTATAGTATGTAGTAGGCGCGGGAAAATTTTGTGAAAAGTGCGGCGAATTTTTTTCATTTATAGGTTAGACTTAGACTTAATCTTTGATCTTATTGTGTTTTTTATGAGCCGGCAAACTACTGCTACATACTACGATGTTATGTAGGATCGAATGGTGGCGGTGCAGGAAGTTTTTGCAATCCATGATTTGCTTTAATTTGCCTCACTTACGTTGTAGGCCCGCCGAGCACGAGTGCGCGGCTGCGCTGTATCGTGACTTTCACCTGCACCCCGATACTGATCACACATAGTCATAGTCTATCAAAGCCATACATGACAGATAAGAGTTAAGAGAACGTTTTAAACTTATTCACGTGACAGTTCAGCGTAGAGTGATTTATGGATGGAAATAAAGTCATATAGATTAAGTCCCAAGCGCCAATTTTAAGAACCATTATTGCATATTATTGATTATCGATGATCAATGGAGGTCTCATGTGATGTGCTAAGAATGTTTTCCTAACAGAGTCTAGTTCTACAAAACCAGTTTGCCAAGTCTCCTCTCATTCGGGTTCAGCAGAATCAGATGTACAAACAATGATCTGTACAAGTCCTTTATTTTAATCTTTTCTGTTGCCGACTTATAAACAATAAACAGTAACCAATACTTTCACACCATTACATGGCACATCAGCCCCTGTGCGCGGCGCTCCTTTCAAGCTTTCTGTACGTGAGAGGAGCGAGTAATAGACTAGCAATCTTAAAGTGATCACGCCACCTAGCTCTGTTATCAGCTCAGGTATGTGGTCGAGATGTACTCCACTCTGCCGGCCGCATCTAACATTAACTGAGTTCTGTAGAACCAGTATTCAAAGTTGGAGTTGGACTAACAGTTAATTGGCAAATTCCTTAACGGTTGCTAACTTTAAGAAATATAGCCTCCTATAGACTGACCCTCATGTAGATCAGTGGCAACTGCAAACTTGAAACTGTGCACACATACAGTATTATAGTACGCACCGACGCACGGGAAAATTTTGTCAGACGCGCGCAGCGCACGTGACAGGCTTGTAAAACAATATTTCAGCTGCTGCGATGAATTGACATCGTGAATCAAAATCGGATGAAGTTTTTACAATCCATGATTAGCCTTGCCTCACGTCGTAGGCCCGCCGCGCACGAGTACAGTGCTGTAATCTGTATTATATCGTGACTTTCACACCGATATTGGGGAAAACGACAATTTTACCTAAGGCTAAGGAAACTCAGTCTTATCATTTCAAAACCACTCATAATCGATTCTACGGTCAAAATTTTTTAGGAAAGTGTATTTGGGGTTAACGGGTGATACTCGTAAAACATTTGTTCCATGAGTCCAACTCGGCGCGCGTCCTGGTAGGTTGTAAACCTAAAAATTTGGGGTCCCTATCTGCTAGATCGCAATCGAGCAGAAAATGCCCGTAAGGCCTTCTAGTTCACTTCTACTATAAAACTAAAAGCGCGATTCTGCACCCACCGCAATGCTGAATTGCCAAATATATCATATATGCATTGCCTCTTTAAATCTTTTGAAGATCAATACTCAGTTTATTATTATACTTATTATAGTTATAGTTCTACTTCTAGTTTCTAAATCGCAATTCGCCTGACAGTGGTTTTGTATTGGAGCTTAGCCTATAAGTGATTTAGGTTCATATTCCTTTTTAGATTGCTTACAGTTACACTTACAGTTATAGTTATACTTATAGGCTAGCTTTACCTGGGGACCTCAGGCTATCATGTTCATAAACATAGAATAGAGATTAGGCGGAATGACAAGCTGAGCGCGGCCCAGTAAAAGGCTAGCTCTGACTATCGCAAAGTACGATTACAGTTTTTCATTAGCATGATAAGTGTTACGAACAAGATGGCAACATACTTTACTATCGCCTCCAAATGGTTAATACTAATACTAATAGTAATAGTACTACTACTAGTAGTATCTAAATTGGTTCCCGCCTACAATGACATTGTCTGACAAAGAGAAGCGAGCCATAGATCAGCAACTTACTCAAACTGCAAGCTGGGTAACGTGAGCAGTGATTTAGAAAAATCTCGAAGTTCCACTGTACTTCCACTGTAAAATGATTTAGCTCGACGATTTTGCTTGATTAAGATTAACGATGCCAACCCGTCAAGACGCTCGACGTTTTTGCATAAAATTTAAGTTATACTTGTTGATGTCATGTCTTTGACCCCTCTTAATTAAAGAGTCTCACGTTGCGACTATGACTATTTTTTAAATGAGGCCGGGCCGTTTAGAAACACAGCTAGGTGAAACATTGTCATACGTTGTATGAACCGCCGCGCACGAGTGCTCTGTATCGTAGAAACTCTACACTATATTAGTGAAGCGACAGTGGGGGTCACCACGTGATACAAGTGAAACACTCCGAGCGTGCTAAATCGCTTTACAGTCGATCTTCGAGATTGTTCTAAAAGTGCCCCGACAGTTGAAACCAACTTGAATCGATGTATTTTCGGAAGCTCATTCCGAATCACCCCCCATGACTTAGGGTTAAGATGCTCCCCTGGCGAAAAAATGTCTCGATCACGTGATCAGTGATATGACCGTATAAAGAATTTTGTCAAATTTTCTCGTTAAGGACAATGTTAAGGTTGGGATCAGATTAGATGGTTAAGGTTTCGAATAGTCGTTCAGGGCCAGCTTGAGGACAGGTTGAAAAAGTCACGTGACAGTCAAGTGTAACTGTAAAGTGGTTAATCATCATCCGGAACATTTTATGTTAGTTTGGCTGCAAATCTAAAACTGTACCAATATGAACAGTATAAGGCTTGCTCTAACCAGAGCCCTCTCGCTTGCAGTACGCGTATACACATGGCTATGTGAATGTCAATGTGAAGTATAAGGCTTAAGTCACGTGGTAGCGCAATGGTGAGTTAATTAATAAAATCCCTTAATACGCTCTGCTCTCATCGCGACTCAACAAAAGAATTGAACTTGAAGAACTAAAAGGTTTTTCAGCAGTGTATTCTAATCAGAATCATAGCCACTATATAACAAATTTTAAATCACGTGGCTAATTTATAACCAATACGATTTAAAACATTTGATCACGTGAACAATTCTAGGCTAGTTTGATCACATGATTTAATTCCATCCTAACAAAAGGTCAGCGAATGGGCCAGGCAGCACTCTTACCTTTACCTACTCCATTTGATCACCGCCAATCCTTTACGAATCATGAGAGGAAAAAAAATCACGTTCATATTTTTAGTCCATTTTCCGTGAATTATTTAACATCCTTTTTGACTGTTTGCAAAAGTATCACGATACATGATAATGTTGTAGCGCGATGCACTACTGGGTCGCGCGCGCATCAAATAATGCTTCTCGGTAGATCGGCGAGATGCACCACTGTGCCTCACCGAGCTGCGAAGGATTGACATCGTGAATCAAATGATAGTGATACTCTTTTTGATAATTTTTAACCTTTTTGGCCGTTTGGTACCATTTTTCTAGGACAAAGATAAAGAGTCACCGGATCTTATAGTTACACGACAGAAGCTAAAATTGCCAAACTTTGAACATTATTTTAAAATATTAATATGTGGTACTGGTAGTACTAGTATAACTATAGCTAGTGCTTGGCCTGGGTACGGTTAGGAATCGGATTAGGGTTCCGGTTAATATAGCGATAGGGTTGGGATCAGAGTAGAGTGTTAAAAAGAGTTGTATTTGGTATTGTTCACCAGCACAGTGATGCACGCCGGTTCATTTTTCGCCAACCGGCGGCGGCGTGCCCAAAATGGCCCGGCGTGGCGGCGTTCGGCGGCGTGGAACATAATTTTGTCAAAATTTAGGTTTGAATTTCCAGGCCCACAAAAATTGTGGCGTACGTGCGTGCATGAAATAATGATGTAATAAGTGTGGTTTTTACAATTATATTTGGTGGTTTTTACAATTATATTTAAGAAAAATCAAATTCTTAACATTGTCGTTGGACAATTTGGATCTCCTAGAGTTCAAAATCAACCCCGACTGGCTCCATACTCTTTCTATTTCCTTTTACGCCACGCCGACTTGAGAGGTATCGGCGTGGCGGCGTGTGAAAATGTGCCGGCGCGGCGGCGTCCGGCGGCGGCGTGCATCACTGCACCAGCAGTCAGACTCAAGCATCAAGGGCAGATGGAAAACGTGTCAAATCATCATCTTTAATATCCGGGGTACGTGATGCGTCTGATAACGTTTGTCCGACCAAATAAGGTCCGATATAATGCATCCTTTGTGTTCTTATATACCTGAGAGGTGTGGTATAATGCTAGTGTAGTTTGCTATATTATCTGCAAGAAGTTTGCCTCACAATTTGTAGAGTTCATATCACGCCTCATAGCTGTTACCAAATCTGTACACTTATTATATTAATAGAAGCCTTTCTTTCAATATTATCTACCAACTAATCATGGAGGACTTTACATATATGGAAGCCTTTCTATTTCATATGTTTGAGAGTGGTACAACTTTATGTCGTAATCTTGGTGTTTGTCTCCTGGCCTGTAGCTGCAAACCTTGCTTTCTGATAGTTTTGTACTATTATTAATATTATTCGCAATTTGTAACGCATTTTTGTTCCAAATTTTGCTTCCCACTCCCAAGCGTCCGTTGTCCGGCTTGCTAATTTTTGGTTCGCTTCTCTCTTGTTGATGGATAATATAGATAACTATAAGATACGCGTCTAACTCTAAGTCTATTCGAAAATGACCCTAGTGCATTTACTTTAGGTAAGAAGTTCTGAAATATTCATATTGTTCCTGTTTTATAGGCCGAAGTCAACGTTTTGCGGAGGAATTCACTGCGGCATAATGTCAGGTGAGCCGGATACGTCGGAGGTAGCACTGAGGATACAAATGCTTGGGAGACTCCTCGCCGACGACTCATTCTTGGACGCTGAGATCAAGAAGGAGATCAAAAAGTATGACGACGATGGTAATCTCAAGATCGATAGAGTAGAGTTCCAGAAAATGCTGAACTGCTATCTAGTGACGTTGAGCGAAGAAGGAAGTTCAGAGAAGTTTGACGATATTGACAAGGACGGGTCTGGATTTATCGAAATAAGCGAGCTTAAACAGGTTCTCCGAAAGCAAATAGTGCAGGAGGTAGACAAACTGAAGCTCCAGAACGGAACAATATTTGACTGTTAAAATTGTAACACTGAAGTTCATTTATTGTTCAAACTGATGAATGATTTCATACCCCATAAATTTGACGGACCTTATTACAAAATTAAATTGGAACTCTAATTCTCAGATCCGAAAATGAAGAAGTAAAACATATCGTTTTTGAGGTCATTGTTTCCGAATCTTTAATCGAATCATTCTGTACAATTCTATTCGCGTTTACATATTCTTAAATTTAATTATTCCGCTTTACTTCTTACATCGAAGTTTCTAAAATTTCGAGGAATGATAGAAAAAAAATCATTTGTTGCCATCTTTTTATGGGATATAGATAAGCAAATTGCCATATTGAGCACCGTTGATCCACTATTATAATTTATTTATAATTATACTACGCAAACTATCCATGCACAATTTTACTCGAACAATTTTAACTCATAACTGTGGAATCGGAATTATTCGGACTTAAAAATTTTTCAAAAACTGATCGAGCAAAATGGTTAACAAAGTAAAAATTATTTCGTTCATATGTTTCACTTTCATTCTTTGGTGATTTTGTGCTCGAAACTGTAATACTTTGTCAAAACCAATTATCACTGTTAATTCAATTGCGAGACATCAAGAGATGATTTCCTACATACAAAATACTTAAATTCCTACATTAAACTTATACACTTAACACTTTCCTTGAACTTAAATCCTGGCGGGAACAAGTAAATACATATAATATATGAAATACAATATCAACTTTACGAATTACGATTAACAATTAAATTAATAAACTTCATTACTTATCATTATTAAAACATACATAGTATGCATACGTCAACATATTTATGATAAAGTTTTATAGCTTGACGATCTCTCAAGAAAATAATTGTGAATATATGTAATATCGCCGTTTTCCCTTGCGCTGGGGAACATCTAATACTAGTACTCTCATGATAAGTATAGACAAAATATGGAACACCTAAAGATTAAGACGAAGAAAAATACAAACATGATATTTTGAGTTGGAGTTTGACCTTGTCATAAACATTAACTAAATCTGACCAAAAGTACCTATTTTTTTCCTATTCGTTATGGAAGATGTATTATTTTCAAATGCCCAATTAAAGAACACCAAAACTTGCGTTGTTTGACCAAATCTATTGGCTGTCTAAAAATTTCTTTTGATCAACTGAATAATTTGTAGTTGGCAATCTCTACTTCACATCTCAAGCTCGCGACAGTATCTCGTTTGTAGTCTTTGCGTGAATAGTATCATTAGGACATATGTGGTGCAGGGTCCCGAAAATACGCGGTATCCAGTGATGTGAATAGCTGATCATCTTGTAGTTGTACAGACCTACGTAAAAACTCCCGTCAGATCGTAACTCGGTTGAAGCACCAAGCTGAGGGGTGCAGACTCACTGCATCTGATTAATCCAGGTCTGGCTCCAGTGTACCACGCATCCGTTAAAAACATTAAAAAATTCGATCTAATAAAATGTGCCCTTTCTTCTGCTGAGATCTACTTCCACGGACCTGCTTAACTACCACCACAAACCTCCTAACTCCGTCAAATATGAATAATCACGTGGTTTTCACGTTAAAATCACTTCAATCTGAATTGTTTGTTGTTTCATCCCCTCGTCGATGCTTGATAAGTCTGAACAGTCGTCCGCCTTATTAACAGTCACCCTCATGTTTTTCCTTTTTTCTGATGAAGCTATCAGGTCGCTTCTGTCGTCTGATTCGGGGGAGTCTGTTATGGAGCAGCGCGGGGATTCGGGAATACGGGAAAAGTAATACATTCTATTCTCGTTCAGTTGAGTTAACATTTCTTGACAATATGGGAACATCAGCTCGCCTAGTGTTTCCCAGAGGGGTAAGACAATGTAGTCGATGAAACCAACCTGAGAATATTACAAATTTGTTAGGGTTTGGTAAAACCCGGCTTACCGCGGTCATTTCTTCCCCCTAAATGACCATTTAACTAGTATATGTGAACAATCAAAGCTCCCTTAAAAATTTCAGTCCAATAATAATAATATCAATATAGTCATAGGTATTGCCAAACCTGAGATTTCTCTATGGATGGATCCTGTCTATCGCACATAGGACTAAGATTGAGGCCCAGCTCCCTCTCTCTATCTCCCTGCTGGTAAAACTCCTCAATAATCTTCTCTGTCCAGGCTTTGTAAATGGGAAGAGCTTTAGTAGCTGAGCTGATGTCACAGGAGTGGACTATTCCTTGGAGTACCTGAGCGCGTTTGTTTTACAACTCCTGTCTCGTACACACACAATATGCTAATTTATCTCCACAACTAGTAGTAGTAAACCCGGCATGGGGTGGCATGTGCCTCAATAAAAATATTACAATCATTTATTATTATATCAATGTATCATTAAATATTTCAAAAATATCAATAACGTATGGTTGATCCTTCACACTTGGTAAAATATATAAGAATAAAGTTAATCTACACTAAAGAATAAATAAATAACTACCAGTTATGATGGGGTGAATATCTTACAGAATATCTTCATTAACTTTGAGGTGAAACCCGTTGCCAGTTGCATTTCAAAACATTCAAAATATGTTCGCACGAGAGACAGCGCGCAACAAATTACAAAACATTTCCTTGTGTTTGAACACTCACCAACATCCTTTCATTATAGCTCTCCAGAACAAGCTTGCCATGATGTGCAACTTTGCTACTTTCGACCGTGGTCTTGATGTCTGCCAGTAGCGACAAGTGTTTGGACATGTCAGTAGCGAGCACCAGATCTATCACCATCTTACGGAATAGGCTTCTCTGCTTGTCGTCCATTCCTGACGCCCAGTTTAGTTCATCTTCCTGAAATATGGAGTTTTCTGTTCACTGTCAACTTAATCACTAAAAAATTCGAAACTGAACCAAACTGGCTAAATAAACTCCGAAACAGGCTAAATAAACTCCGAAACAACGAACCTTGAGGAATTTAAAAGCAGTAGCAAGATGGTGGTTCTCCAACACAGCATGGTCATTGTACAGTATAGCCAGTGCGTTACTGGTGTTAGAGAGGAACTGGTTACTCAGACCAGGGTGGTCCACATCGTGTATTGCACATGCGTACAGAGCTGCGAACACCTCCAGATCCGTGAAAACTTGCTGGAAAGGTCCGGGATAAACGCTAGTACAAACGTTGATGAGTATTTACTTGTGGGTTATAAGGGTACGTGGTAACGTGAAACATCTTAAATCCAAACTTAAATAATAAATTCTAGCATTTATTAAATAATGATAAATGTAATGTCACCACAACATTTGACACACGCTGTAACCCCTTTTTATTGCGCGCGAAGCGCATGCAGCCGGCCGGCGTGCACGAGAGGTATACAACGTGTAGCAACACAACATCGTGGAGAGCTAGAATAATAAATTAGAGTCACAAAATGGCGAGTCTCACCTGAACAAATTACAAAATATTTCCATGTGTTTGGAACTCACCTCAACAACGGAGTAGCCCAGTAACACGTGACAGGACTGCATTACGTCAGCACCGTGGGTAGCGTTGTGGTAAGGGTTATTAGTGTGGTAGTTTGCTTCTATTACAAACATGTACTTTATAAAGGTGGCTGGGTCTATGTTGTAGGATCGTAACAAGTTTCGTTCCTGAGACGAGGAGTATATAATAGTGATATACGTAAATAAACTTATATGTATTATATATTTAATACATATATACAATATTTATTTTAAACATATATCGTATACATGAATGTATTACAATTTATATACAACTTGTGACTAGGTATGTGAAATTTATAAAATAAATTTCGATATTAATCGATGATAATTGATCGATTTGTACCACCTCAACTGATTAATGAATATCAAAACTCGATATCGTGACGTAACGGCTAGTCTCATACTAATCAACTAGTCAGTAGCTTACAGTTTCACACTCACCGATTGTAAAATAATATAAGCCATAGACACTAGGGGATGATCTTTACTGATTGTAGAGAATTTGAACATGTCAAAATTCCAAGTGTTTATCTGAGCCACCATCATACCCATCGCGTCGTCATCTTCAACCTGACAAAATGTTACGATTACTTTACTTTTACTAAAAATAGCAGTTTCCTTTGTCGCATCAACGTGAATACAATAAATTTCGAACAATTGATATAACTTTACCGGTACAAGCTATGATAAAAGAGCGGCTAGAAGAAAAGAGATGGCGAGAAATGTATCACAGAATGTAAACATTTGATATCTTACCTCTACGCCGTACTTCGGTACGTTTCCCTTAAGGACTTGCGAAGCTTGATGAATTATTCTTTTGGCGTAGATTGCAGGAATGCGGTTCTGCAAAGTACGAGAAATTATACTATTTTTTTTTCATCTTGAGGAGCAATTGGTAGATGGAGAAAAACAAATCTTGCCCAATAAATCCAACATTCGGTAAATCTCTGTGCGCTACTGACGAGTGAGTACTGACGAGTACTTACCTTGCTTTTCTCGAGCTCAAGTTCATCTTCACCCCTCTCAAAGTAAGTGTTAGTGACCCATTCCGCTACCTGGTTACCAGATCGGGACGTTTCTGAGAACTGACTCAGCTCTCTCGTCAACATTCTCTTAAACTGAAATATTGTGACGTTCAATCAACCGATCAAGAATCTGTTTACAGAAAACGGGCAATCACCATCTTTACATCACACTTATAATTTGGTACATTGGTTGAGGAGCTGCAGTGTAGGGGGTTACCTTATTTTGGGCCATCTCTCCGACACTGTTCCTAGCTTTTATTTTGTTGAGATGTTCTAGGACCCAGTCTATGTCAGCTAACCCGTCAAGTAACTGCTGCTGTTGTTCTACCCCTGTTAATCTTCTATCGCTAAGAGAGGGGAGGGAGTGAGATAAATGATGGTGTAGGATATTCTGATTTGCTACATTTGTCTTCAGCTTAAATTTTCTATTGCGTAGATTTATCTGGTGTCTTAATGTTTGGTCTTTAAAAATAGCAAATTTAGAAATAGAAAAATAGTTAAACTTACTCTTCATTGTTTTCATCTGTGGGAAGAGCAGTGAGGCGGTTCATCATATGTCGCACTTCTCGCAGTCTTGCCAGTATCTGAGCAAATGGAGTGACGATTATGTCATCCAGTCCGTTCCTGCAAACAAAGGAATGTTATTTTCAGAGTAAACAAATCTTACCTTATATTGAAATTTAAATGATAGAAAGTGTAAGAACTAAGACGACCCCTCTCCAGTCTCCTCTGGGGATCCCCTCTCACTACCTCCCTCACCTTAGTTCGGTTAGTTGATCCTCCTCCTCTTCCTCATCAGAGGAACAGGAGCAGCAGTATGAGCCCTCACTTTCCGAGGCGATATCATCACCGTAAAACATATGCATTTTGTTTGTTTGTTTGTTTGTTTGTTTGTTTGTTTGTTTGTTTGTTTGTTTGTTTGTTTGTTTGTTTGTTTGTTTGTTTGTTTGTTTGTTTGTTTGTTTGTTTGTTTGTTTGTTTGTTTGTTTGTTTGTTTGTTTAAAAAAAAAGTTAATTTGTTTGTTACCAGTCACATCACACCTCACTAAAAACTCCTAAAAAAGTTGGCCAAAAATAACCAGCCCGACTATACATTTACAAACCCAAATAATCTCGAAAATAGATAAAATGGGATAAAAACACAATTACTCTCTTCACGTCAATTTGCGGAAAATAAAGTCACTAAATGTAGTTCCGGATATACGAGAGCTACAATTAATTACCAAGCTAATTGGAAAAAAATTAATTTGGTCACAAAACTGTAGGAACCATCCGGCATATGACCGATCATTTGACATCACACTAATATTGTTACCTACATTTATTAATGTTTATTAATACTAATGACTAACACTATTCGTGAAAATAATGAGACAAAGTTCAAAATACCAATTATCATAATTGAATGCAAACCACTACAGGAAATATACCGAAAATTGATTGTGCGTGACTGTCGAATGTGTGGAGCGATAATTACTTAGAAAATTAATTTGTAAGTTGTAACTCACTTATCGTTTTGTATGCTGGACATGCTACTAGTCCTACTGAGGCCGCGGCTGCTACTGAGGCTGGTATCTGGTTCATTGCGGTACAAAAAGGAACCTCTCCTCTGGTCGGATAGTTTCCTCGGCATTCCCGTACTGTGCTGGGACAGGTACTCTTCTACAATCTAGAGGGAGGAACGAGGAGTTAGAATCTTAGAAAGGAAGGGGAAATGTGGGTTAATAGAAAGTTTGAGGGAAATGTGGGGATTAGAATGTTACAAATTAGAGGGGGAAAAGAGGGGTTAGAAAGTTAGATTTCCATGTTGTTACTATTCCAAATATGCTATTTTTCCAAATATGTATGAATAATCACTAAAAATGATGTTTTGAACTTGATAAACCATGCTGCAAGACTTGAATAACAAGAAATTGAAACCTGGAGGAAACTTGAAAAAACATTATCTATATTTAGAATAATTAATTATCTATATTTAGAATATTTAGAAGAAAAATGAATCAAAGATCAAGAAAAACAATCCGAAAGTGGTTCAGTAAAGGACGACTAATGAAAAATGAACACGGATACAAATCTATGTAACCAGCGTTCAAAATATGCATAATGTCTATAAAATATGTATAATGGCATAAAATAGAGAATTTTTACCAGATCATTTCTGATGATCACACATTGAGTAAACAGATGGAGTGGTTTGTACAGTGGTTAAATTTAAAATGGGTTATGTAGGTCGGGAGACCTGTGGGTCTGAAAAATCGAACTATCAAAAGTTTCCAAAATGTAGCGTAATATCCTCCACAGTTTGATCAATGAGATTGGCAATATATGTGGATTGTGGGGCCACTGTGGGTGAGATAAAGAACAAAAAGTTATCAGATTCAGTGGTGAGAACTCTGGCTCACCAATTATGTAACTCCAAGCTGGGCACACTTATTTTCAAGATACTCAAATTATCTAAGCAAATTGAGTCTCATCCCTATAACAAATTATCCCTATGATGATAAATAAAAGGATGCGATGTAGGAACTACGACAGACAACATTCGAAAGCGAGACGATGTTAATAACAGGTCGCTTAGTTACAGCTAACCCCCGCAAAGAGCTGGCACTGGTCGTGAGGCGTAATAATCCGGGATTAGGTGCACTAATTAATCGAAATGTATCCCGGCTAGTAACACTTGCCAAGACAGTGGGCTGAATAGTTAACATTTTATTTTAAAAGTTAGCTATTTTCTCTAATACTTAGTTAAATAGTTGACATTTTATTTTAAATTACTCTATTTGCTGTAATACATATGTAGTTAAAATGTTATTTTGTAAGCTATTTGCTGTAGTGATTTGTAGGAGAAAATCTGAGAAATCTTTGAAAATCTACAATACATGTTGTTGTGTTAAAGATTGATTGAAAACATTACATCATTTAAGATCGGGAGACAAATTACCGAATTAACAGACTAGAAAAATCTGATAAAGCAATAAGCAAAATATTTGACATACTACTTCATTATAAAACTTGTAAAAGATGACGCAATTATGAACAAAATATTTGACATTTTACTTCGTTTAATAATCGTCTAAGATGACGCAATTATGAACAAAATATTTGACATTTTACTTCGTTTAATAATCGTCAAAGATGACGCAATTATAAGCAAAAGTATTAAGTAATAAGTATCAGTATCTGTCTGAGAGACCAATAAGCAAAAGAACTATTCCTCTGATACGTAATCTAGATTTACAGATAAGTAATAAGTGACCGTGGTCAGTCGTATAGCCAGATATAAGATCGTGGGTACACGGTGCTAACTGCTAGTTGATAGAGCAGGCCGATAATGACCAGGACGGTACAACGAGGGTGTAATACTGTGTAGATACCAGGAGACATGCAGCGAGGTAAATATTATAAAGGAGCAAGGTAAATGTTAGAACATCTTGACACTTGGTGGGCCACTCAGCTAATCTAATAGGCTTATAAGTAGATTGGCAGGGGCCGTTCTGGAAACAAGTTTAATGAGCATAATTAATTATTACCAATACCACTTTCGAATATCTGATGCCGTGGTGCGACTGGTGTAACCAGTCTGGCGGAAACAAGCTTTTCTAATTGAGAACAATAATACCGAGCTTGTTTGAATTCTAATTTTAATGATTGAAACTAAAATTTGAGCAATTGAATTAATATTGTACTTAACTTATAAGTGACCTGTAACTAAAACTAATCCTTTACAATATGGAATATGATAAAAAGGGGATCCAGCACTTTTGTCTTCTTAACTTGAAGTTGACTTCTGAGTAAATGCTGAACACAAAATTTGGTGCTTCACTATTTCCTTCCTAATTAAAGTTCGATGAAATTAAGACAGTGAATTTGATTTTAATTAGACTGGATGAGAATCAGACCTCTCTTAATTAAATTTGCTATCTAAATCTTGTAAATTGAAATTTGAACCTATCCTGATTCCATGAATTTTGCTATCTAGACGTCAGTCCGTTTCAATTGTAAACCTACAAGAGTAGCTAGCTGGTAGAGGATAAATCGAATTCGATCAAATATGGTTTCGATCAAGTAATCAGTAGTCTTTTCAACCGACTTTTCAACCAACCTTCGAATCGACCGACATATTATTTACCATATAACCGTTACATGTACACTGTAATGTGTACAGTTTATACTATATTACACGTTACATTAATAAACATTACCGGTAGACATGACATTGTGAGAGATTTTGTAAGGACTCTCTTCGGACGATTGCCTCTGGAAGAAGTAGAAGAGTCCATCATTCTGCTAGTTTAGAAGATTCGTTATTTCCAACAACTGTTACAACGTTGAAGATTGAAAGCTCCCAAAACCAATAAACAACTAAAAAAGCTTCATCAAAATCAAATAGCAAAAAGAGTTGTGTCCTCTGAAAATAAAGAACAAGTGGAAAAGCAACAATCAATACTGCTCGTTAAAACTTGAGTCGGTAAACATGCAACTTCTTTTGATTTTTCAAGATATTGGACATCAAATTCAATGTACCTTTCAACTTGTTTCATCACTCAACAAATTGGCTTATAAACAACAAATCGGATTTTAAACAACAAACTCGGTCCGTCGTGTTAACAAAAAGGTAGATAAATGCTCAATCAACTATTATCTCTTGGATAGTATCTCAGATAGAATCCTGTGTTATTTAACTACCTTACTCGGGAATATTATAACCGGGATAAAGTGATGGGTTTTGGAAGATTCCGCCATATTTTTCCCGGTCAAAAATTTTACCAGTCATAAAAAAACCCGCCGACTCAGATTATAGGGTTCAAAGCGGGTGGTGATCATCATATTTTACCTGAAGTCTCATAATATGTGCTAGAGAAGACTTTTGAAGCAGTGGATGGAGGGCTGTAACTTTATTGGCGGTTGCTACCATAATTTCGTTATAAAAATTACAATTTGGTTATAGAAATCAGATTTCACGGTGGTCCACGGTGGATTGATTACTGGAGCAGTTGAAGATGCAAAGCCAAGACGTTCCCCAATACCAAGCGGTGGGCAGGAAATTAAGCTCCGGCTGACCTTCAGAGCAGTAGCACCATTAGCGGACAAAATGAAAGTCTTGTTAAGACAATAATACAACTTCGAATTTGACGGTCAGCAGCAGGGGGATATCAATAATGATAATGGAGGGGACATTAGCGATAATGAGAATGAGAATACGCTTTAATGAAGATTTGACTTATTATTGCTTCGATTTATTTTCCTTTAAATAGACTTGTCTATTTTTTCTATTTCTGAGAAATATCAATAACTGTAAATTGAAATAACTTCTTTAACAAGTAACAAAAACAGAAATTTTGGTTGAAAATTTGTTGACCTCTGAAAAAAAAACTTGAAAGGTCGGCCACCGGTAAATACATGACCGGGATAATTTGGCGGGTTTTGGGAAAGTCCGCCATATTTTTCCCGGTCATTAATTTTCCCAGTCATAAATTAACCCGCTATAATATTCCCGAGTAAGGTACTTACAGGTTGGGTCGAAATAAGCAGGTAATTTTTGAGGGACTTCTCTAACATATTCTCCTTAACATCTGCCGCTTCCACCTCTCGGATGTTCCTGAAGTTTTTTTTTTTCTGGATGTAGGCTCTAAGACCACCACCCCACGGCATCACGATCTACCAAACTCAAAGACTGGACAATGCACACTAACAAGGCCAACAACAGAACAGGCCAGGTAATTGTTTGCTCACAACAGAACAATACTCAACGAAACACAGGTGCTGTGGAAGAAGCTCGCAACGCAGACGAATATGGTCAAAGTACAGAGATGCAGTGACGGAACGGGGTGGCTCTGTTCGATAGAACACCAAGGACAGTGTTATTGAGTATATAGCTGCGTCACGTGATTCTGCCCACGTGACAAGCACGTGCAGTGATCCACAGTCTTGTCTCAGACACGTTAGCGTCCTCGGGTGACATGTACATTGTGGAAACTCACGCGAACTTATTAAGTACTGGGTTATGAAGGAAGGGGTATTAACATAGTACACGACTTTGCAGGTGACAGTTCGCTAAGCTAGACAATATTAAACATCTGTAAGTTAATAATTTTACTAGCTACAATTTTAATAATGTTCGAGGATGACGACAGTACAATGGGTTAGCCCGAAAGTGACAAGAATTCTACGAAAATAGAGATACAATGACGGTGGGATATAGGATAGAAAAGACAGCTGCTAGATACGGAGACTGCAGTAATGGTGGGTATAATAGGGTAATTGAGTTTTGTTAAAGTAGGTAAGAACGGTAAAGTGTCGGGTGGAATAGAAGAAACCCGTAAATAAACAATATAACTAATTTATGTTTTTATAAAAAAGGGTATTTTGGAGGGTGGGAGTAATGGGAACAATTTAGTCGAGACTTTTTCATAAACTTTGTGCGTTGTAGTAGTATCTAAACTTTTAGGTCATACTCATAATAAATTATCATAACCCAAAATATCAACAACATCAAAGCATCAACATTTTTTGTCAAATATTACTGAAGCAATAGTACTGTTAAGAATTGGGATTTGACAGATGGGCATCTTTATGAACAACTTTATTACTGTAATGTAGTTTACTAATGAATTAGGTTTCTTACGAAAGGGTGTTATAATATCTCATTCCTAAATTTATATATTAAGGCAGGAATTGAGGAATTAGGTGTTCAGGCTGTGACTTGTGGAGTACGAGTTAATATTCGAGTTGTGGAGTACGGTTTGTGGAGTACGGACGAGAAAGCCTCCCAAAGGAGTTACTTCCTGTCTACAACCAACATTCCGTTTATAAATAATTGTTTCTCATAAAATTGTACACTTGTTTAACGTAATGTACTCGAAGCAACGAAATAATCGAATCATAGCGATAAGAAATTATTGAAGTTCAGTTAAGAAGTTGGCAGAATATCAAACCTTAGAACCTTGGCAAGTCTTACAATTGTCGTTCTCTCACAATGTGTACAACTACTAACGAAGAAAAAATAAAAATTATTGAAAATATTACGGAGCGCTTTGCCAATAGTTTATTCGTCTGAGAACCACTAATTAATCAATTCACAATATAAGAGAAGAAACTTAATGATGAGTCATTGAACCACCTTGCATTTTTTTTACTATCGAGGGATAATTTGTAAATGCATGTTATTATATTTGATGGCATCATGTTACTTAAAATCAAGAGAAATAACGTTTGTACATACGAGTTCCAACAATATTCCACGATTACAGATGGCAGATCGCGCTCAGAACTAGTTCTGAAGACACAAAAAAAACAGCGTGATACAGAAAGAGATATTGGTATGTGGTGATGATGATAAGACAAGCTGATATAACGACGCGCTATCTCCAACACCACCACCCGGGGGGTTTCTTTTGTAGTTGATTGCATACCACCACCTTGTACATAATTACGATATGAGAACTTCTCTCCGAACTTGCAACTTGCAGTGAATATGCTGCATTTTAGCTCATGTGCAAGTAATGAACCGTATATCTTAAGTAATGAACCGTATTTTATCTGGGAGAAAAGTAGTGGTTCTCTAGCATGTAATCATGAAATGAAAAGTTTCTCTATCGCCAGTACTGCATAGAGTAACAAGGATTGGATAATTTTCGCGCGATAAACGGTCAGCAACCAACTTACCAATTCGTTTATTTTTTGACTGAAAAACGAAACATTCGAAATAAGGTGATCCTCTTTACTCTAGTAGCAGGGATAGTTGAGAAAATGTTCTCCTCTTTGATCTATTAGATCAAAGAGGAGCACATTTTCCAATGGATATTAACAATTGGGACAAACTCTATAAACCGCTAATGATAGGTGTTCTAAGTTTCTGATCGTACGGTTGTTGCGACAAAGGAAAACGAACTTTCTTAGGTAAAAATAGTCCGTTTACAATATGTTTTAAAATTTAAACAATAATCTAATGTTCGAGCTTTTCATTTAGAATTAAAACAAGTCCTTCATATTAACTATTAAGAAGCTAGGGATATAAATTATATTTGATAAATGAATTGCACGATAATGTGTGCTGTATAACTATAAGAAACACGATAAAGCACACGATAAAGCACACGATAAAGCACACGATAAAGCACACGATAAAGCACACGATAAAGCACACGATAAAGCACACGATAAAGCACACAAGGATAAGTTGTAAACAGCACATCTATATCGTGTAGAGTGTGATGGTAGTGCGAGCAGGTGCAGTTGGAGTGCAAACCTGCACATCATAGCTCCCCCGTTAACTGTAAACTGATATAACTGTAGAATCTACGGTGTAGATCAAACACATCTACATTCTACACGCTACATTTAGTCCAGTTCTAAGTGTGAGGTTGACCATTTGGGTGGTAGATTGTTAGGGGGGGGGGGGGGGGGGGGGTTTTAGCAAGCAGCGTGCAAAATAGGGATTATTTCTGTCGTGATATTTGTATTATTGACTGGAAAATGAACCGAAAAACGTTCGAAGCAATACGTGGATGAATGACTGGCAAGGAGGAGTAACAGTGTGATTTAGAGAAATAAAATGGTTCAAATTGTTTATAGCCGGAAATGGTTCATGGCCAAAAATGGTTCATAGCCGAAAATGGTTCAAATATCCCGGAGATCACACTTTTTTACGATATTTCTCAACCTCTGTTTTATGGTGTTGAAAAAGCATAGCACCAGATACAAAGCGATAAAGATAATTGTCAGAGAAATTAAAATGATGCATAAATGAAACAAATTATTATTGAATATTTAATTTGTTTACACATGTCTCAGAGGACCACCATCGGTAAGACTAAGATTGTAACTAATTCATGGATTGATAATTGTCAGTAATGGAATCATTAAGATTTTTACAAGAGATCTTAAACAATATCTCAGAATGTGTGTCTGTCTGTGTGTCTGCCTGTCTGTGTGTAAGAGTTACAGGACTGGTTTTTTCGGTATAGTGCCGAGAAAACTCTGACGAAGCCAAATGATAAAGGTTTTTTAAATCGGTCGGTGGTAAGTGATTTAATTGTTGGTTTTGTACCACAAATGTGACATAAAATGGATCACGTTTTCTCCCTTCTCGCCCTCTCTCCCATTACTGCATAGGCAGCGTTGGTACATAACTCATAATTAGGTTAGACTTAAGCCTCGATATTCACTGTCATGTAATACTATAAGATTATTAGGGGAGGGGGCACTCATTTCGGTCTGTTTGGACTGTAGAGAGAGTTTATACTTTCGTACGACAATGTTATGCGTGTTTTCAAATATAATAGGCGGGTTTATACTTTTGCATTTCAACTGCGATAGTGAAGTCCCGGCCGTAGGCACTAGGCACGGGTTACACTAGTAATGCTATATATATATAATGATAAAAGATTCAGCTTTATAAATCGATCAATAAATTAAAAAGAAGTCCCGAATAAAACAATCCAAGAAGTTACTCCTAGAACTGGCTTTTAGTTTGAGCGATCAGAAACATGGACACAACCACTAACACTGGATTTATCACCTGACACTTTAGTTTATTAATGGAATCGTGAAAGTCTCAGTCGAGGTTAATTCAATTAACCTTGAGGTTCGACATAAATAATTGAAAGACAAAGTGGGAGGTACACACACCTGGTGCTTCCAAACTGTTTCAAATATTGAATTCTATTTCAATGTGGTGACGTCATTTGACAATGAGATATGCTGGTCGTCATGGTTGTTGAAGCAAGGGTCATGACGTCACAAAATTTGAACACATACAAGAAATATCTAGCAACATCTCTTGCTGTACGAAGAAAAGTGGTGGACGATTGAGAATTTTAAAAGTCAATAATTGTCATGATATTTAACTATTATTTCCACAGTATACAATAACTAGACACAAATTTTCTTATCGAGTAGTTTTATTGAGAATCAGTGTGCGTTTCTAAGAAATTATATTCAGATCAACAATGAACAAACAGGTCGTCCACACGAGAAAAGTGCACAGAGTGTCCAACAGTCAATAGTGTTCAGTGTCTGATTAATAATCTCTAACATCGCAAACATCATATTCGCACTCCTGGAATCCCCACACATTCTCACACACATTATCTATTCACATATCTTACATATTTCCAGCCAAAATCCGCACAACGATTACATAGAACACACTAGTTACTATAATAGTTCAGACGAAAATGTCAGGACGAGTTTGACATTTTCGTACGTGGACAGCTACTACAAGTTACCAGCCCCCTAAATCCTAATCTACAAGTTACCACATTTACTAGCCCCTAAACGGCAATACACCCACTATACTACAGTATCATTATAGCACCCTTTACCTTGCCTAGACCATGCTAATGAGTAATGACCCAAAGTTTTTACATAATTGATATTGTAACGTATAGTACATACAATTGACGTCGCGAAGGCTTGAGGTGGGCCAATTTGCATTTTCTCGCCGCTCCGTATTTTAATTGGTACTGTCATGAAAATTGCCAGATCGTGATCTTTTTGGTCTATAAAAAATACGGGTCCGAGTTTATTTGTAATGAAACATTTGAGTTGTTGCACATAATTAAGTATGTAAGATAATAGCTTACTCAAGATTTGGGAGCGAGCATAAATGCTGTTAAAAACAGAGCTTAATATCTGCTCTGGGATGTAAATGAGCAGGGTTAAGAAAGTTCCCGCCTAGTCATGACAGTCATGATCAGTTCCCAAAATGAACATGCTCTAACTGTTCTCGACGATTACAATTATCATATTTATATCCTTTTCGTGATCTTCTAGAATGTTTTACACGACTATCTCTAGAATTGGCAGCCGATACGGGCCGATATTATATTATTACGTAGGCCACTTGAAAACACCAGCTTGGATCAATAAATTGGGAAAGAAACTCGAAATAATAATAATTCAGCTACTTTCACAGGTGTGATACTACTACTAAGGAAGCTGCAGAACAACAAGCAACAAACAGGATGCATGAGAGGTCTCAAGCCTCATTTATAGGAAAAAGAAGTTACTGTGTGGTGCAGGCTACTCCAACGACTAGGAGGAGATCTTTCCAAGTACAAGTAAGAAAGTTTTACTTGGGGAAAGTGGGCATATGGTTACCGCAAGAAAACAGGCCGACTATAAAAAAGCAGGCCAATCAATATGATCAATGTTACATTTTACTGAGGAAACAGATAATTGGCCAAGAAAATTCATACTTTTTAATCTGATATATAAATTACAGGTGAGGCATTTATGTTAAAATGACTATGAAGTATGAGTGATTCCAATTCTTGGAAATTGGAGGAAAATTCTAAGGTTGTATACATTATACAGTATGGCAAGATGAAAATACTCAAATTGTTCATCGAATGTTGTAAATCTATCGAAATAAAATAATATTGTAAGTTCCCCCCCCCCCCCCCCCCCCCCAAAAACCATCAATAACTTACATGAGGGTTCATAGTTTCATTGTTTACGTCGTTTTTTTCTCGCTGGTCCGTACTCTCCTCTGCGAATGACAGCCTGAAATTAGATTTTGTTAAAAAAAGTTACTAATTATCCAATTATGACCTGAAATTTATTGTTATAATTTCCACCAAAACAAACTGACACCCCAAAACATACTACATTTATATCTATTATCTATGCACAACCAATACCAAAGCCTCTGCATAATTGATATCTCAACTCAGAGAACCTGCGACTTAAAAAAACAGAATTTTACAGTTGTAACAGAAAGATCGACTTAGACTGTGTTTTCAGGTTTTCGTTACCACTTATATTGTCAGGCGGATAATAATTAACTGATTTTGTTCAAACTGAGGAAGGATATGCAAGAAACTACACAGGAGCATGCGGGACCTTAGCTTGTGATCTACAAATCACAAGCTTGTGATCTACAAATCACAAGCTTATGACCCAGTCAACCTCTCTGTTTAGTCTCTCCGCCCCCCCCCCCCCCCCCTTCCTTCCGCCTCCCCATCCTAGTGATGACAGTAATAATGGTACACCTCTGGATCCCTATAATTTACCGAGGCGTAAGAAGGTCTATCTCCCTATAATTTACCGAGGAGTAAGAAGGTTTATCTCCCTATAATTTACCGAGGAGTAAGAAGGTCTATCTTCCTATAATTTACCGAGAAGTAAGAAGGTCTATCTCCCTATAATTTACCGAGGAGTAAGAAGGTCTATCTCCCTATAATTTACCGAGGAGTAAGAAGGTCTATCTTCCTATAATTTACCGAGGAGTAAGAAGGTCTATCTCCCTATAATTTACCGAGGAGTAAGAAGGTCTATCTCCCTATAATTTACCGAGGAGTAAGAAGGTCTATCTCCCTATAATTTACCGAGGAGTAAGAAGGTCTGTCTCCCTATAATTTACCGAGGAGTAAGAAGGTCTGTCTCCCTATAATTTACCGAGGAGTAAGAAGGTCTATCTCCCTATAATTTACCGAGGAGTAAGAAGGTCTATCCCCCTATAATTTACCGAGGAGTAAGAAGGTCTATCTCCTTATAATTTACCGAGGAGTAAGAAGGTCTATCTCCCTATAATTTACCGAGGAGTAAGAAGGTCTATCTCCCTATAATTTACCGAGGAGTAAGAAGGTCTATCTGCCTATAATTTACCGAGGAGTAAGAAGGTCTATCTCCCTATAATTACCGAGGAGTAAGAAGGTATATCTCCCTATAATTTACCGAGGAGTAAGAAGGTCTATCTCCCTATAATTTACCGAGGAGTAAGAAGGTCTATCTTCCTATAATTTACCGAGAAGTAAGAAGGTCTATCTCCCTATAATTTACCGAGGAGTAAGAAGGTCTATCTCCCTATAATTACCGAGGAGTAAGAAGGTCTATCTCCCTATAATTACCGAGGAGTAAGAAGGTATATCTCCCTATAATTTACCGAGGAGTAAGAAGGTCTATCTCCCTATAATTTACCGAGGAGTAAGAAGGTCTATCTTCCTATAATTTACCGAGAAGTAAGAAGGTCTATCTCCCTATAATTTACCGAGGAATAAGAAGGTCTATCTCCCTATAATTTACCGAGGAGTAAGAAGGTCTATCTTCCTATAATTTACCGAGGAGTAAGAAGGTCTATCTCCCTATAATTTACCGAGGAGTAAGAAGGTCTATCTCCCGAATAGTGGACAGTCCTTGCTCAGACCACCTCCGTTCAGGATCTGGGTATACTCGGTACCAAGCCATATCTCACAATAATACCTACACAAAAGGCAAATAAAAAGAAGGTTAAAGTGTAAAGTGACGCAGCTGCCAAAAGGAAGGATTATACCTTACAGGATATTTTGATGTTGTTTAATTTATTTTATTAAGCCAACAGCGGAAATCCTCGAGCTATAATTGCGATTAAAATTCGTGTTGGTGAAAACGGAACTTTAGAATTTCCTATTTTAAATCATCCTTTACAAGCTGGCTCAAGATGTTCAATTATTTCAGAATTTTAACACTATGTTACAGTTACTTAAAATATAAAATAAAGACAATGCTGTAGGAGCAGAGAGAGCACGGTATAGAGTGCTCTTGTATTGATGAGTATGTTGATTATTGTTGATTACATATGCTGCTTGGTCTATGGCAACAGCTACTAAAGTACTAAAAAGGTAAGTATAACAGTGTTCAGGGTCAAGCACAGCAAATAACACTTGTAATGCGGAGAGAAATACGGAGAGAACCGACTAGAACAAGAAGGATGAACTGCCGGGTGCCATGTCAAGAAGTAAATAGTAACTAAAAGGCGGCTCATGTCTTTGACATAAAGCAACACATTAAAACTGGGTAGTAGTTACACGTTAGTTACAAGTGTGTCAAGACATTGCCAGTCATGGTGTAGTGGTGGGTGTTAAATTACCACACTCATACGGTTAACTGTTAACCAGCACTCAGTAGAACAGATGGTTATCAATAACTGTTCAGTGTGTCGGGGAGAGGAGTGAAATATGAAAATGCTGCTCAAAGAAATTGGCTGATGGGTGCTTTTAACCACTTATTGAGTTATCACCGTTGTAAAAATGGGAGGATGCTGAAATTACTATTTGACATGTCAAATAGCCAATCAGTGATTTAGTGAGCTACCAGTTTATGACACTTCTTTAGAAATTAAAGAACGATCCAGAGAATAAATCTTTGAGCGGTGAGTTCAAAATATTATGATGATGATAGATAATAGTAGGTGCTACTACCCGCGTTTATTGATTAAGAAAGATTGCGGAAACGTAACGAAGGCAACTGAAGCAGAGCAGTGAGTCATCACAGTTATTTACAAGACACAAGGTATTTACAAGACAAAAGGAATCGGGTGCCTTGCTCATTACTCAAAGTTAAGATAGTGAATAGTATTTAGTATATTGGTAAATACATTGCCCGGTATGGTAAGCAATTATCAATCTTTCTAAAGCTAATACAGTACTGTGGAAGTAAATAGCTGGCAGTGGGTTAACCAATAACCATCACTCATTCCTGCCCTTCTTTGTTATCATATAATGATGTTTTGCCTAGCTATGATGTCACTGAAGTAGTGGCGCACAATGTATTAGGACACCAATCTTATAGTAACAAACTAATCAATTACATGGTTATATTGAATATTTGGATTATTATTCTGGGGCACCCCTACTTTGGGCAGATTTGCGATGAGTCCAACGAAGTACCAGCCTCCTCCCTCAAATAAAATTAAAATTCTGTTGATAATAATTATTATATTATAATATTCACTTAATAATTATTATCGACAATCGGATGCTACATTTGTTCAAAAGCTTTGGTACGTGATTTCCGTAAATTTATGATAGAATTCAGTTATAATATTACCATCGAGTAAGTAATGAACATAAAATTAAGGGAGATAATCAAAATAATTACAGGAATTAAGAAATGACTGTGCAGCTGCAGCTAGCATAAATAATTATATAATATTTTAGTTCAAAATATATATCAAATATGGTCTAAACGTAACGTGGTCGAATAACCCAGCTGCAGACAATGACTTGAAGATGGCTAATTTATTATAAATTTACTCGTTAAATAACATTTACATAAAATTTACTTATTGAAAGTACAAAGTTATTAGTACACAATCATTAATACCTTTTTGGGTCTCCGTTGATGGAATACAGAACTATATCCATAGCACAGAGCGGGTCCTTGTTCAGGGGGTCAAGCAAAATATTTCCTTGTGTTTCAACGGAGGCGAGCATAATATACCGTTCTTTTACCATGTGTTAAAACTTAAAATGGAATAACCTTGTTGTTAAAAAAGTTCAATAAATCGACTACCTTACTCGGGAATATTATAGCGGGTTAATTTATGACTGGGAAAATTAATGACCGGGAAAAATATGGCGGACTTTCCCAAAACCCGCCAAATTATCCCGGTCATGTATTTACCGGTGGCCGACCTTTCAAGTTTTTTTCAGAGATCAACAAATTTTCAACCGAAATTTCTGTTTTTGTTACTTGTTAAAGAAGTTATTTCAATTTACAGTTACTGATATTACTCAGAAATAGAAAAAAAGACACGTCTATTTAAAGGAAAATAAATCTATAGCAATAATAAGTCAAATCTTCATTAAAGCGTATTCTCATTCTCATTATCGCTAATGTCCTCTCTCTTCTCTTCGATTCACTGATTCATGGGCAAGTGAAGTGAGAATCACGGTCCACCCTGAAATCTGATCACAATGCTGGCAAGCATTACCGTCGCCCTTATATTCACAATACTATTTACCCCCTATACTAGTATATCCCCTTTATTGTTTTCCAGGCATTAAGACTCATCGAAAGTAGTTCAGCAGTTATATTTAAGTTCAAAACATTCTAATTCAATGTTAAAGATGACAGGAATAAGAAATAGTTATGTGGAGGTTTTTAAGAAATTTGAGCAAAATACGCACCAGCATGTTATACGAAATTAGGTAAAAAACCCAAAATCGCCACATTCAGGTGCCTTAAAAACCATGTTAAAATTGAGTTAGAGATCTGAAACTTTGCAGGGCGTCTAGACCTTGTCCAAATCGACTGTAAAAAAAATTTCATGTTTCAGGAGTATTGGGAAGTGGGTTTTCTGGAACCCCTGTTTTACAACAGATTGTCGTGAAGTATATCACAGTGCTGGCAAGCACGACCGTTGCATTTATTGTGGGTATACTATGTACCCCATTTACTATTATACCCCCTTTACTATTATACCCCCTTTACTATTATACCCTCTTTGGTGCACGCGAAGCGTGCACTCCGGCCGGAGGCGGCGGCCGAAGGCCGCCGCCTCCGGCAGGAGTTTTTCAGACATTAAGACTCATCGGAAGTCGTTCAGCAGATTTATTTTAGTTCAAAACATTCTAATTTGATGTCAAAGATGACAGGAATAAAAAATAGTTATGTTGAGATTTTTAAGAAATTTGCATAAAATACTCGCCAGCACTGTTATACGAAATTCGGTAAAAAACCCAAAATCGCCATATTCAGGTGCTTTAAAAACCATGTTAAAATTGAGTTCGAGATCTGAAATT